CTATTGTATTAGCTGTGACTGTAATTCTACTTTTTGCTTTCCAGAAATTGCTAGAACTGCGTTGGCACAATAAAAGTTTAAAATTGGCTATCAATTTTAAAAGCTATAAAAGCCAGAGAGAGAGAACATCTCAGCTCAGTTGTTTACTTAGTTGCTGCATTTTTTTTTTTTTTTTTTTTTTTTTTTTTTTTTTTTGATCAGATTAGTTTTCTCTGCACTGTGGATTGTGTTCTATTTAGCGTTTTAGTATAGCTACTGATTATATTGCGTGATATTGTAATATTGTATGAATATCTTTGAGGAAAAAATCCAGCGTTTTGCTATATTTTTTGTAGTAAGAATAAATTTTATTAACTTTTTATCGGACCTGTCCATTCAATCTATTAAGGACCTGTACACATGCAATAATATTGTAAATTCTCAACAATTGTAAGAACTTCTAAGACTTATTAGAAGCTCTCAGATAAAATCTGCAAACAGAGTGAAGTTCTTGTCTTCAGCCAAGTTAATTACTTCAAAAAACACCTTCAGTCTACTAGTTTGGCATGGAGATGTAATAAATGGCCTCTAAATTATCAGAGATGAAATAGGACTGGTAAAAGTAAAAACAAAGACACTTGAAAGAAATGATGAATTTGGATTTAAATATCCAACTTTTGCTTCCATCTAAGCATCATGCTTCTTCAAAGTCTTCGAATACCATAAAAAGAACTCTCATGCCAGTATTCAAATGCTCATGTCAATGATTAGAGAGGATTATTTCAGCTAGATGGACAATTAGATCAACAAACAAAAAATGCCTTACATGCAACAGATTCACAGCAAAGTCACCTTCAACTGTACCTATTCATTTACCTTTAGATAGAGTCCAGAATGCTCAAACTTTCGAAACCACCAAAATCAACCTGTGTGGTCCTATAATTCTTAGAAAGAAGAGTAAAGCCTGGCCGGTGGGTACTCTTTATATGTAACATCTACAGAGCAGTTAATTTAGGGCTTGTAACATCCTTAAGTGCAAATTGCTTTGCATACACGTTGAGAAGATTCACCGTTCATGAGGCTGTCTGATAGTTGTCTACATTGGCGATGAAGAACAGGGCCATCTGACTACTGATAGTTGTCTACGGTAACAAAAGCATGAATTTTTAATCAGTACATTTGTCACATTGAATCAAATCAAGTGGCAAAAGATAGCTACTGTTAAAGCTCTAAATCCGACTGAATAAAAATTCATTCCCCCAACTGCAGCATGCTGGCGTGGTTGGTGGAAGAGATTAATTTGCATAGTAAAAAATCAACTTGTTCAAGTTCTTGGTTAAGTTGTCTGTTACTTACAAGGAGCTGCTCACAATTCTTTATGATGCAGAAGCCAATGTGGATAACCGCCTGCTAACATACATCTCCAATAATGCAGATGAGTTGAGATCTCTGAGACCATCCAACTTTCTGAAGATGTAAAAGAGATTTGAATGGCTGATCATGATCACTTAGATTAGAAAGAATTGGGAAATAGAGAATGTTACTGCCAAAAGCTCTGTGAACAGTTCTGACAGAGATTTTGGAGGGAATACTTAAGTCAGCTAATGCAAAATGTCTGCACATCTAACAAAGTTTTTAAACTTGGGGGGGGGAGTGATCCTTTTTTGGTTTAAAAACCAGAAGATATTTAAGTAGCAACTTATAGTGATTGAAGAACTAGACCAGGTAGGGATGGCCATGTGAGAGTTGTCAAAGTCAAAATTCCACTTGGTCACCTCATTCGTTCACTAAAAGATTTACTCTCTAGAAGCTGATTCTTCTGGGGATTCCGTTATATCAGATGAATATCCTGCTAATGACCCACCAGCAACATCGCAAAATGGAAGCTTAATTCAGGATGATGTTCCGGCAACTCCTTACAGATCGAGATGCAGTAGAATAATTAAGACACCACAGAGATTGGGCTGTTAAACTTTTGAACTTAGTTGATTTACCTTGAAGGTGGAAAGATGTTTCACAATGCCTTCAATAGATGGTGGAAGCTGTATGAATAACGTTTTTGTTTACTTTTTTTAGATGCCATCAGATTTCTTGTACACATTTTGCCTCTGTCTTTGGTTTGAAGTGCTTAAAAAAAATTCTATTAATAAGTATTTTTCCTGTTTTTGATAGCATCCCTTTGGGAAACTTATGTTTTGATTCAAGATGCATGTGAAGCTGATTATATCAAGAGTTCAATAAATTTGTTATTAATCAAAAAGCATGCATACTTTCCAAGTAGATGAAATGAATTTCTTTCATTCTAAATATTGAAAGTATAACACAATATTGTGATATTCTGATAGTGGACTCACTGTGTCTAAGTATTTTTAAGGTTTATATACATATATCAAGGGCCTGTTCAGAACAACCTAAATGGGTAGTCTCAGCTTAGTTCTGATTTTTCCCCCTTTAACCCCTTAACCTACGATTTAGATTCAAAGATGTTGGGCCAAAATTGTATACAAGCTCATGCAGCGTTCGGGACATTTGCACGACTTGTGTAACACCCTAATCTGGGCAATCATAAACATGATGAATTACGTAGGCTATTCAAAAAGTTAGAAACGTTTTGAGAATTAAAAAGAAACTAAGTACAAGAAAAAAAATGAAATACATATATCAGAAATAGCGACTAAAATTCTACTTTTCTACATAGTCACCAAACAAATTGAGGCACTTATCATAGCAGTGGACAAGCTTTGAAATTCCTTCATCATAGCATTATGCCGCCTGCGATCTCACCCACTCGTCAAAGCGCTGTGTTGCTAGCCAGTTCTTCATTCTTGGAAACAAGTGAAAATCACTAGGTCAAAAAATCACTAGGATCACTAGGTGAAAATCACTAGGATCAGGACTATAGGGCGTATGAGGGAAAACCTCCCATTTGAATGAATTAAGGAGTTCTTGAGTGTGTTTTGCCATGTGAGGTCGAGCATTGTCGTGCAAAAAACAAATTTTGGACGTTAACTTTCCTCGGCCCTTATTTTGAACTGCTAAGGTTGCGCAAAGTTTGACAGTACGGCTCAGAGTTTATTGTGGCACTACGTTCGAGAAAATAAATCAGAAGCACACCTTACCTATCCCAAAACACAGTTGCCATAATCTTCTTTGGTGACAAGGTTTGCAAACATTTTCTTGGTCTTTTGGAGGAACTTGTGTGCCCCCACTACATGGACTGTAATTTTGTCTGGCAATTCACGTGTCTCACCCACGTCCCGTCACCAGTTATGATTCGATTCAGTAATGAATCACCATGTCTGTCGTAGGCCTCCAAAAATGTCAAAGCTGCCCCCATTCGCTGACCTTTATGGTGGTCTGTAAGCAATTTCGGCACCCATCTTGCACAAAATTTGCGGTAGCCGAGCTTTTGTGTCACAATTTCAAACAAAGTCCGTGACAATAAAACAATAAAGTCCATGAACAACAAAACAACAAAACAATAAAGTCCGTGAAACTTGTAGAACACTAAGCGAAAGCTTTGTTATTGTAAAATGGCGGTTTTCACAAATCTTTTCATCAACTTTAGCGACCACTTCGTCAGTCACAATGCTAAGGCGTCCACTCCTCTCTTCATCGTGAACGCTAGTTCGGCCATTTTTAAACTGAATGCGCCATTTCCGGATTGAACTTTCATTCATTACGTTGTTTACGTACACTTCACACACTTTGCCGATAAATTTCCATAGATTTTAGGTTTTTTTGCCAACAAAAACCGTATCACAGACCGCACCTCACAACTGGCGAGATTTTCAATTGCTGGCACATTTTAAATTTGAATATCGAAAAAACGGGCAGCGTGGAAATGTTCCCGTTGTGATGGCTGGACGACGACTGAGATGCCGAGTACACAGACACCAAAATGTACATGATCGACGCGCGTCTAGCGACGTCAGACGGAAACGTTCCTTATTTTCTGAATAGCCCTCATATGTAATTTTTCGAAGAAAGTATAGGCGAATAACTATTGATGGATACATCCGATGACGATCAACTACCAGAGTCCTGGCTTTGGAAAGAAATAAGAAATAGTCCAAAAATCTGGGACTATATGATGACTCCTGGCATAAGAGAGGAAGCCTTATGACAATTAGGAGGAAGTAGAGGAGAATTTGATATATTTAATCTAATGTTTGATGACATATTTTGGAACAATACTGTAACCGAAATGAATCAGTATGCAGATCAAGTACGAGAAAATCCACATAGAACACGAGTGTAAAAGTGTAAAGTTCCGTTACATTTACCAGAATGCTTTGAAATATATCATACCGTTACAGATTACTAATTTTGCATTTTGGAGTTTTGTATAAATAAACATTTTGTAATACTTGCGTCTACTTGCATGAGACTGTAATTGTATATCAAATATTCCACATATTATTCACTTCTGGCCCGATCACCATACACGGGCTATGCCCGTGAAAGTTAGGTTTGACCCGACCATCGTACGCGGGCTATGACCATGAAAATTAGGTTTGGCCCGACCATTGTACGCGAGCTATGCCCATCATTGTAGATTAAGGGGTTAAGATAATCTTTCAAATTATTATGAATTAAAAAAAAAAAATCCCTCAGCAGCTTTTGCGCATCTAACTCCTAATCTCAAATGATAATTCAATTTAACATTTAAGCACAGTTTACATAGAAAATTTTGAATAAAATTTATATGTATAATGAAAATTACTTTCAGAATCCCAGAAAAACTAAATTATACAAATATACTGATGAGTGCAAAACAAAAAACAATTCTTTAAAATAAATGGCAGATCTTTAGCAAAATGAACTAAAGTTAGTAACGTATTTGAATAATATATTACATACGTGTATGTATATTTTATGTTGTAAAATAGGCTAAAAACAGGGGAAAATTTTAATTATGAAAAAATAATTTCTTATCAACAAAAGGTGAAAAGTTTGTTGATGTTTACATTCAACCTCTCTCAGTTACATTCAATTGCTAAAGCAAATTCATTACAAACCTTTAAAAGCAAAACACAGAAATTTACCAGGTGATTTTGTAAGTTCTTTCAATTCTGCAGAAAAGTTTGGGGAATTACTGGAATATTCATTGAGAGTTCCAAGAAAATGCATTTTTTCACTTAGCCTTTTTTCAATAATTTTTAGCTTTTTCCCATAGATGCGATAGGCCTATAAAAAGGGGAGGAAAGGTTACTTTCATACTGAAAACACTAAAATGCTTATTAGAATTTTTGCAGAATTTCTGAAATGAAAAACTAATTTACATCAGATAGTAAATTCTGGTTTAAATAGAATGAACACTTTAAATAAAAATGTTATATGTAATTAACAATTGCATAGCTTTATGTGGCACATCCTGCATTAAGCCACTAGTATTTTAGATGAATTAAAAAATACACAGTAACATTACTTTAACTACAGTCAGGAGAGCATATTCAAAGGTAAAGTATGACAATTCTTCTTCAGTCCTACAAAAAATTGACAAAGGTGGGTAAAAGTCACCCTACAAGGCGATTGCAGCCTTTTAATTGCTTAATATGGCCTGTTATGAAATTCTGTGCAATGGCAATTTTATTTCTTTCCTACCTGATTGTATACAAACTACCAAAAATCAGCAGCATGTGTCAAAATCATGTATCTATTGTTACAATGTATATGCACATATATATGCATGCCTATACTAGCAATGAACTTGAAGTGAGAACAATAGACATGCTAGAAAGCATGAGCACCTGCTGAACAATATATTTCTATTATTACTAGCAACTTTAATTTAGAAATTAAATGATGAAATTTGAATATTGATGAAATAAAGAGGCTGATCAGAAAACAGCACTAAGAAAAAGAACATTTCACTACTAAATTTTCATTTAAAAATGAAACAGGAAACATGTCAATCATTTGATGGCCAATAGGAACAGAGTCCAATGTCCAATTTCGGTTTTTTTTTTTTTTTTTTTTTTTTAAATTTCTACCGGGAAGGGTTGTGTTTCCTATCATTCATATCCTGCAAACTATAGAGGCACTGCAAAAGATCATAACGATCATGCACTAAAAAAGACTTTTTTTATCTGTGTTTAAAAGTATTAGCCCATTGTAACATCGTTCAAAAGTTTTTTCACAGCACGATTTTAAAAATTCAGCCATTCAAATCATTAAAAATAAGTCTGTCGTTACAGGATTATAAAGCTGTTAATAACATCACCCCCCCCCTTCCCCCCCCCCCCCCCCCCCCCCCCCCCCCCCCCCCCCCCCCCCCCCCCCCCCCCCCCCCCCAAACCCCCCCACCCCCCCCCCCCCCCCCCCCCCCCCCCCCCCCCCCCCCCCCCCCCCCCCCCCCCCATAATTATAATAAAGGAGATTATGATGAAAGCATTTGAAATACTTCATTAAAGCATCAAAACAAGAGCATATATGGAACATATGATAGTTTCATTTGAGCTTCAAACTGTAATATCAGAATGCCAGGAAACAGTCTAATCAGCTACAGCTGCATTTTGTTAAGAATGACAGTCCATTATTGCACACTCATGCTTGATTCCTTTCATTCAATCAATTAAAACCTCATATAGCAAAGTATAAAGCATAATTTCTTTTAAGATTAACACTCAAGTAAAAACTCTGACAAAGTGCTTGTACATCTGCTATATAAATAAATGTTTTAAAATCAAACTACCAAAAATTTGACACTCCATTTTTAAAACATTGGAATAAGTTATACTGCTCTTTGCCATATAACTCATTTTGATTTCTATTTTTCAAATTATTTTTCTCTTCATTTGCTAATGCTTTAGTGTTTTATCTCTTAAAAAGACTTTTCTATCTCCAAGCCAACCCTTTGAAGGGGGTAGTACGTAAAATAAGAAATATGCAAATAAAAATTATAACTTAAATTAGCATTAGTTTCCTACTTCCTCATTTTAATTTGAGTTCTATTCTAAAAATAGTAATAACTTTTTCTGAACTGCATCATTTCTAGATTAATCCTACCATATGACTTTTACATGACGATGATTACATAGCTAATTCAGAGCTTAAACCAAACCTTTCTCTTAATAAGCTTTCATACTGGATAACTACACACTTGCTTTCTGCACCTTGGTCTACATAGATTGCTGCTTGCTGCTTATTTTCTTACCCCAAAGCTTTTAAAATTGTAAAATGTTTGAAATAGGCATGATTAAGTGTGCCATTACTACACATTTTCTGCACCTCGGTCTAAATAGACTGCTACTTGCTGCTTCTTTTCTTACCACAAAGTTATTAAAAATGTTTGAAATAAGCATGATTAAGAGTGCCAAATAATTTGTGACTACAAATGTGAATTTAAATAAAAAGGAATATTTAATCTGCCTCATCTGCCAAGTTTACTCTTCATTATGGATCAACATCTGTGCAATCAGTACTTCTACAACATTATATTTAACCCTGCTTTATTTACACACATATAATATATAGAGAGAGGCAAAAAATATTTAATTAAAAATTATTAACCTCACACAAAATACTGCAAAATTAAAGTCAACAATATAGAAAAAAATACGACAGAATATAAACCTAACAAAAAAGGTAAGCTACTTAACTTAAAGAAAGTACAAATAAAAGAAAAATATAAAGCATTAAATTGTAAAATAATCCTGAAAGAGATGAAAATTAATATATATATATATATATACATATAAAGAAGAAAGTCTGCGTGTTTTTCCTCTAATAACTCAATCACTACCATTGTCGCCGAACTTTCTACGATACTTTTCTGGGTCTGGAAAAAGTCGACATCCACTTTTTTCCCAAAAAACGTAGCTAAAATCAGAGATATAAATTAAAGACTCGGAAAAAGATCATTTTCGTCCCCATTGTTCTGAGTGGCAACAGTCTCGCATGCTGGAGATGAAAATCTGCTTCATTTTGAAAGTTGTTGCCACTACTTGCTATCAAATCCTAGAGTTTGTTAATAAAAAATTTCCAAGCTTTACAATGAAATAAAAATAGCATTGCCAAACATTAAATACATTATTCCCATTCCAAAAATTTGTGAGAAGCCATTTCGACTATTCCCATCTTCGCACGACTTTAATCAGCCAAATATTAATTAAAAACTCTGAAAGCACTAATTTTCACACTCATTTTTCGAGTGGCAACGGTCTCACAAGTTGGAGATAAAAATGCTTTATTTAGAAAAATATTATTCGCTTTCAAATTGTAGAGTTTGTTAATAAAAAAATCTGTAAGTTTTACAAAATCTATACATATAAAGAAGAATATCTTTTGTGTTTGTTTATTTGTTCGCGTTATAGATTTCCGATCACTCATGATAAATGTTTTGTCACATTTAATCGACTCAAATTGAATATAGGTGAAATATTGGATGGAACTTGAGCTTTTATGACCATTTGGTTAGAAAGACAAAAATCATTAAAAACTGTGTGCCATTGCTGCTGATATAATGAGAGAAAATTAGCTTATTTTTCTATCGAAATTTTTTGTATGGGTTCCATATCGCATCAGAGTGAAAGATGTATCACTATGAATCTTATTTTTTGCATCATTATTAGAGAAGGATTACAGTGGTATCTTTCTCTCTGTTGTTAGATGCATTACTCTCAATCTAACCTAACTAGCATTGGGTAATCCCACTAGTATAAACTAAAAACAACAAAAAGTAGATAATGTTTGGTCTTCGTCACAAAGCAGGCAAGAAAATTATCAACAGAGTCATGTTTTGGAACTATGTGTGGATAAACTGCAAAAGGAATAGTAATCAAATAATTTCAAAGTAATGTGTGTTTTTAAATTTAAACATTCAACAAGATATAATCTATACCGAGAAAATGCAAAAGAAAATATGTACTTCACTTTTTACAATAAGTTTCAGTTTAATGTTAAGTAAAGTGAGTATGTATATGGAGAACGACAATTTAATTTTGAATAAAAATGACGAATTCTTTGGATAAATTTTTCTGAAAAGTATAAATAATACAATCTAATTTTAATAAAAATTATAAATTCTAGTGAAAAATGGAATTTATTTACATTTTTTAAAAACAAACCAAGCAATTTGAAAATTATAAGCTTGTTGATCTACAGTGAAGTGACAAAAGTCATGGGATAGCAATATGCAAATATACAGATGGCAGTAGTATCACGTAGAAAATGTATAAATGCGAAGTGCTTTGGCAGGGCTTTCATTTGTGTTCAAGTTATTCATGTGAAGAGGCTTTGACGTGATTATTGCCACACGACGAGAATTAACAGACTTTGAACACGGAATGGTAGTTGGAGTTAGATGCATGGGTCATTCCATTTCGGATATCGTTAGGGAATTCAACATTCCGAGATCCACAGTGTAAAGAGTGTGCCGAGAATATCTAATTTCAGGTATAACATCCCACCATGGACAGCGCAGTGGCTGACCACCTGCACTTAACGACTGAAACCAGCGATGTCTGCGTAGAGTTGTCAACGTTCACAGACAAGCAACACTGCGTCAAATTACCGCAGAACTCAATGTGGGACGTATGAGGGACATGTCCGATAGGACAGTGCGGCGAAATTTGTCTTCCTTGGGCTATGCCAGCAGAAGACCGACTCAAGTGCCTTTACTGACAGCACGACATTGCCTGCAGCTACTCTCGTGAGCATAACAGTTGGTCCCTAAACGAATGAAAAACCGTGGCTTGGTCAGATGAGTCACGATTTCAGTTGGTAAGAGCTGATGGTAGGGTTCAAGTGTGGCACAGACCCCACGAAGCCATGGACCCAAGTTTTCAACAAGGCACTGTTCAAGCTGGTGGTGGTTCCATAATGGTCTGGGCTGTTTTACATGGCATGGACTCGGTCCTCTGGTGCAACTGAACCAATCATTGACTGGAAATGGATACCTTCAGCTACTTGGAGATCACTTACAGCCATTCATGGACTTCACGTACTCAAACAACGATGGGATTTTATGGATGACAATGCGCCCATGTCACCGGGCCACAAATTGTTTGCGATTGGTTAGAAGAACATTCTGGACAATTCCAGCGAATGATCTGGCCACCTAGATCGCCCAACATGAATCCCATCGAACATTTATGGGACATCATCAAGAGGTCAGTCCATGCTCAAAACCCTGCACCGTCAACACTTTCACAATTATGGACGTCTATAGAGGCAGCATGGCTCAATATTCCTGCAGGGGACTTCCAACGACTTGTTGAGTCCAAGCCACGTCGAGTTGCTGCACTTCGCTGGGCAAAAGGAGGACCGACAAAATATTAGGAGGTATCCCATGACTTTTGTCACTTCAGTGTATAAAAAACATTTACTTGTATTTTAATTATTCCATATTTTTAATCAAAAAATTTATTCTTTAATCAGATATTTTTTGCACACTGATTGCAGTCTACCATGTCCTTAAGAACTTATATATCAACCTTAGAACCTATAAGCTTATTATTTTTTTAGTTTTTACCCTTTATTTGCTCTTACAAACACTATTTGGCATTTTTGTAATTTTATTTACTTTTTTACTTCCAGCTACACCTTTACATGCTGTATGAACTAGCCATATGCTGAGGCTTTTGCTGATATCTTATGGCTTTAGGTTGGTTTGTTTTTACATTTATACTATAACTGTTCCGTTTGAATATTTATTGATTTTTCTACATATATGGATAAATTTTTTTCAGCTGTAGCCTCTCAGGTTTGGGCAACCAATGAGCAATTTTATCTAAGATTTTGCTACTTTGGTTTTTAAATTATTAAAATCTTTTGGCCTTAAGAAATTGTTGACTGATTAGCTCAGAAACAGGCTATGTTTTTACATTTCTCGGAATACCGACCTCGTGATGAAATGTCACGAGAAATGTACGAGGATTGGAACTTTAATAGTAGCAACACAGCTGAAAAAAACGCTACACAACAAAACCAAAGAATATCGCGTATACCACACGTGAGCTACATACCTACCTTACCTCTCAGCAAAAAGACTTGTCCTGCCTACGTCATGTGCATGCAGAGTGACGCGAAGAATGGATCCTTGTATTAGCTCGTGGTCTAAAGTAAGTGTTGGCAGGATGTTTTCAAAACAAGAACAACAATGTTGGATAAAAATTGAATGTGCCAGAGGTCATACAGCACGACAGCGTCATCAAGGGCTTCAAGAGGCTTGCGGGGAATCTGCATTGCCTTACAGAACCTTAGCAAGATGTGTGAAAGTTTTCAATGAAGGACGCCAAAACTAAGCAGACATGCTGCGGCCAGGTTGTCCGAGTGCCAGCGATGCAGACGTGCAAGCTGTTGCCGCACTAATGGACAGTGATTGCCGCCAAACGATTCGTCAGCTGGCCCGACAAACAGGATTAGGGCATACGACTGTGCTGCACATTCTGAAGGAACGCCTGTCCATGAGAAAAACTGCTTCACGATGGGTTCCACATCAACTCATGGAAATGCAGAAATGGCTACGATACGATGCTGCCTGAACTCACCTGGAGCGCTATGAGCGCGAAGGATATGCTTTTTTACACCGTATCATTACGCTGGATGAGACTTGGACCCGATCGTACCAGCCAGAACTGAAACGCAAATCAAACGAATGGCCACCACGATGTTCGAAATTTCATCAGAACCCCAGCAATGTGAAAGTTATGGTGATTCTCGTGTACGACTGTGATGGTGTCATCCTAACGCATACCGTTCCCCCACAGTAGACCATCACTGCACAGTATTACTGCTCATTTTTGGAGCACAATCTCCGACCAGCTTTGAGAAAAAACGGCGACACTTTCTGCAGAACGCTCCTCTCATTTTGCACGACAATGCTCGGCCACATGCAGCGCAAGCTGTGACTGATTTGTTCAAACGATGGGGCTGGGAAGTGCTTTACCATCTACCATACTCCCCAGATCTAAGCCCTTGGGACTATGACTTAATTCCTAAGATGAAGGAAACACTTCGTGGCACTCGCTTCCAAACTGTTCAAACTATCAACAAAACAGGCGCTGCTACAGGTATTCTGCGACTTCCACATTGTTGGAAATGGGTTGTACACAATGCTGGCGACTATATTGAAGGACTGTAAAACATGGTGACATGAATCACTTTTGTATTCCTTGTAAATAAAATAGTTGCCACTATTAAAGTTCCAACTCTCGTAAAAAGCCCTTTTGATTTGTATGATCTTTTTATGAAGTTTTCCATTTTCAGTGGTTATATTTTGACTACAGGATTCCTTTTACTCCTTGCACAAAGAAACGAATGTATTGTAAATGTGAAAAAATTAGGGTATCATTTTGATCACTCTTAAATCGTTTGAATTAATGTTTTGCATGACACCTGTATGTACAGAGAGCATAACGGACTCGTTTTTCTAAAACAGACATTAAAACGGACTTAAAATGGATTCAAAAGAGAACTATATATACAGTGGTGGCCAAAATTGTGGACACTTTTGGAAATTTTTATGTTTTTGAACTTTGTATGCTTATAGAAAATGTTACGTTTTGCAAAATGCAAACTTGTATATATCATTTTAAAGAGATTTATCACTGAATTCAATACAAAACACAAAATTTAATTATTTGCAATACAAAAAAAGTTATATGTACTTTAATATAAATAAAAAAGACAGTTATGAAGTGGTTTTTAATGTCTAGCTTTCCTGGCCAATCACTGTTCTTGTTCTCAGAACCAATTAAATGTTAGTAACTGCCAGTAGAAGCTGACATCATGTTTACACTTGAAACAAATTCATTATTTTGCTTTATTCTGTAGAAGGAGGACCTGTTTCTTATACACTGCAATTACAAGTAGGAATTTTTGTAAAAGTTTTTAATATTTAGTCAAGAAGCAATGATATCAAATAAAAGAGTAGATTGGACATCTAGAAAGAGATGTAATATTATTGTGTTACGAGAAAGTGCTCTTTCCTATGCTGAAATTGCAAGACAGGTGGGTGGTTCAGTGACTACATCTGGAGTCCGAAAGTTTTGTTTACAATATCAGGAGACAAATTCAATAAAAAACAAAGAAGGAAAAGGCCGAAAAAGGTACACCACATCTATTGATGACAGAAGAATAAAAAGACTATGTCTCCAAGATAGAAAAATGTCATCAGCGGCCATCAGAAGTGATCTGAATGATGCTGGTGTTTCTGTCAGTTCAAGAACAATCAGGAGAAGACTAACAGATGTTGGACTGAGAGGTAGAATTCCATGAAAAAAGCCTTATCTTAATTTTCAGCAACAAAAATAAAAAAAAAAAAAAAACTACAGTGGGCCAAAAAAAACACATTAATTGGACAGATGATCAGTGGTCACAAGTTATATGGAGTGATGAAACTAAGATATCGTTATTCGGTAGTGATGGGCGAAAATATGCAAGACGTAGAATGGAAGAGCTACATCCTGACTGCATTCAAGCAACTGTGAAGAACCCAGTTAGTGTTATGATTTGGTCATGCATGTCAGCAGATGGTATTGGTCGCCTTCATGTCATCAATGGGACACTGAATGCCAGAAAATACATTGACACTATTCTAGAACCAAAACTTCTACCTTTCATCAGAAATCTCTTTCCCAACAATGCTTCGTTTATTTTTCAGCAGGATTCTGCTCCTTGCCACACGGCCAAAATATCAAAAGAGTGGTTTCGTACAAAGAGCATTAAATTGTTGTCATGGCCAGGAAACAGTCCTGACCTCAATCCTATCGAAAATTTGTGGCACCATTTGAAAACTCTTGTCCGAATGAGACGCCCATCAAATAAAAGGGAACTAACTGAGGCTATAATTGTTTCCTGGCATCACGTAATAGCTTAAAACTCTTGTCAGCCTAATGAAACGTCGATGTGAAGCTGTAATCAAAAATAAAGGGTACCCTACTAAGTATTGATAACTCACTGCAATCATCACTATTTAACGTATATCGATAACTATTATCGTTTAACTTTTTTTGTATTGCAAATAATTGAATTTTGTGTTTTGTATTGAATTAAGTGATAAATTCCCTTTAAAATGATATATACAAGTTTGCATTTTGTGAAATCTATAAGCATACAAAGTTCAAAAACATAAAAATTTCCAAAAGTGTCCACAATTTTGGCCACCACTGTATATAATATAATGCAATGAAAAATAAATATAACTTCTATTGAATTGTGCATATTTAGCCAAACGGTTAAGAATTTCAATGTGAAGTCAAAAGTTAAACCTGATTAACAATGCACCAACTGCAATAAAGATGCACCAACTCCAATAAAGAACAATATAGAATTTAAATTTAATAAAATTTTAAATTATTGATAATAGGATAATTAAATTAAAAAGATACTGAAGAAGTTAAGTAAATTTGGTAAAGGTTATCTCCTGTCTGAAAGACTATTGTTTTCGTTTTGCGATTTTGCATTGAATCACTATAAATGTCTGTTTCACTTTTCAAACTGTTGCCACCAAATGTTAGAGTCCTGCATTATATTTGAAGAAATTAAATAATGAAAAATCTGCATAAATGTATGTCTATTTCTTGCATTATGAAAAAACAATATGTTGGTATATACGTAGCACCAAAGTGTCACTATGGTAAATAAATATAGTGAACTTTAAAGAGTGCATTTATTCTATTGTGGTTTATGTGCTATCGATGAAGTAGATTTAATTCAAAATTCATTAATTCAATGTGTTTAAATGAAATGCAGGAAAATTGCGAATAATTTAATATTCGTACAAGGAAGTCGTGGTGCACACAACAGATTTTTACAACAATGAAATAACAAAATTATCAGGAAAATATAACAAATTTAAATTACTCTTAACATATACACTTTTCTTTTGACACAATACAAGTAATAGTATCTATGAATGACATTAAATTATTAATAATTAAATGTGTATAACAATATAAGCTATATTAAAGACTGATTACTGAATTATATCAGCTATATTTAAGACTGAAAGTATTTTTATTATTCAAAGTCTATACTAACAAAACAAGTACCTAGTGATGTCACAAAGTACATATATACATACATGAGCTACTTTCTTAACTTCCTCATTTTGAACAGAATAGAAAACACTGCTATTCTTCAGTTCCCTCAGAAATGTTTTCCTTGCTGCAATTCCACGAACAGCCAACTGGATGTACTCTTCAAAAGCATTTTTGTAAATGTCAAACTTTTGTAAAACATTCTGACTATCCATGTGCACTAAAAATATATAATTTAATTTTGTATTTTTTCTTATGAAATTATTTATTTGCAATACTGTTATTGCATTTCACTTAAACTTACTATATATTGCTTAATTTCTACAAACTTTATGCATTCGTTTATTTTATTTTATTTATTTTATTTTTTTTTTAAATATAAAACTAAGTGAACACTGGGATAACAAACAAATGAAAATATATTATTTTGTTAAAAATATTTAGAAGCCTTGGAGTGGTAAACATAAATTAAGTAAGTTGTTATGGCAAAGGCATAGAAGGTATACTTTCCTGTTCGATTAAATAAAAATAACTGTGTTAATTGACTAGAAATGGCATAAGTTTTTAATCATAGAAACTAGGTTACATTTATTATTAAATTATACAAATGGGAAAATGATAAAAATATTCAAGCAGCAGTGCATCTAACAGGAAGTTGAACTTAACAAAATTATTAGTGTTCTGCGGTTATTGATCATTCAGCTAAGAACAAAAATATATAATTGCCCCAAAAGCAACACTTGAGTACAGCCAAAAAAGAACAGAAAAAAGGGAAAATTGCACACAAAATACTTTTTAGTGAACAAGACATAAAAAAAGCATACAGTATTTTAAAAAGCTATATAGAACATACAACATTTTTTCAATGTACTTTTTGACAGCTGTTAGCAATATATACATTTAATTTAATAGTGTATTAATTTGTATGAGCTATATTAAATGAAGAAGTGGCCTAAATAGATAAAACTCATAACCTGGGATTTTTACCAACAACTTTACAATGCAACTTGCACTATGTTAAAAAAAAAAAAAAAAAAAAAAAAAAAAAAAAAAGAAGAAGAAGAAGAAGGCATCTGAAATGAAATAATAACATAAAAAACTAGTAAATAGCTAAATAAACATTATGCATTTATTTAATTGAAGCTTATCTTCATAAACCAATTAAATTCTGAAAATACAGTCAATGCAGTCATATTAGATTAAGATCATGATTTATGTGGATAATGTTTCTCTTCCTTTATTGTGTTGCATGTTTTTAAATTTAGGGGGAAAAGATATTCCAGCATCAAAATAGTTTGGGGTGACTTAATGTAACTTCAGGAAATAACTTTTTCTTGTATTCCAAAAGTCTACCAAAACTGAGGGTGCTTTAAGTTTCAAAGTTCTGATTTGAATTTTGAAATAAAATGACTTCACTATGTTTTACTTGGATAAATTCTAATGGAAAGTAATATTAAAATTATTTATGTAAAAAGTAACTGTACAATTATTAAAAAAAATTTAATTAATAAAAAATTCCAAAATTCCATGAACTTATTCGATATTTACTTAAAAAATTTGCATAATCTAACAGAATCACCGAAAATATATGGAAATTTCTGCAGTGATAAATTTATTGTCCAAATCATGATTTCAACTATAGGCTATAAATATACGTCACAAGTTTTGCACATGTGTCAACAATTTACCACAGGTAAAGTCCATAGTTAATTCAAAATCATACTTGATTACAGGACAGTTTAAAAAATACAATAAAAAAAGAATAATCCATGTTATATAAAGAAAAATACCATTCATAATTTACCTGCATTTTCAAGTGTATTTATGCACAGAATAAGTTTATTTGGTTTTGTAAATGAAATCAGTAATCAAAATAAAAATAACATGCCAAATAAAAGATAAAATGAAAAAACTACATTATAAATAGCATCACAGGAAGATAAATGGCAGTCACTTGACTTTACAACTGAACAATTTACTTTAAGAGATATTTTCGAAAATTTATACATTCTGGATTACGTACAAAGAGCTGTGAAATATTATGGCATTATCTGCTATCACTGCTTTTACCCATGCACTTTTCCTTTTATATTTTGAGTGCTGATGAGAGTTCCCCCCCCCCCACTACATTTTGTTTTTACATTTTATTTTCAGTTGACATTTAAACTTTGTGATACGTTTTCCCATTATTCTGCAATAAGAAACCCTTATTTAACCATTTTATTAATTATTTATTTTAAGATGACACCTGAGAGTTTTAATAAGTTTCATTTATGAATTCTGACTTTCATTGTGACAATCTTAACTTCACTTAACAACACACACAAAAAAAAAAAAAAAAAAAAAAAAAAAAAAAAAAAACCTTGGGAGAGGTCTTCTTACAACATTACATAGAGTAGAAATTCGTCTTACCAATTATATTTTCTAAATCTGGCATTTTTGGTTCTTCTAAATCATCTAGCATTGCTTCTTTCTCATTTATTTCATTTTCTAATGTTTTTAATTTCTGAAGAGCATCAATTAAGTTTTGCAGCTAAAAAGAAAATCATGTTTAAATAAATTTACATTAAGTACAGATAAAATTTATAATACTCGAATTGAGTAATTTATATTATCTGAAGAAAATACAGTATCTACTGCTTTCCTTTTTTACTATGAGCCCTGAAAACTAATGAAAACAAAAAAGAAAATCCAACATACCTTAAAATTGCTAATGATTTTAGATTCTTCAAGTTCTTCTTCAGCAGCATTTTCATCTTCTGTGCAATTCACTGAAATGTGTATAAAAATTTCTTAAAAATTAAATATAATTATTAGTTATAGTCACACATGAATTTATTTGACAGTTTTTAAATAAAGAATGACAAGTATAGTTAACTGCAATCATCTAGCAAATGCAGATATATCAAATTTTTCTGTAATAAACAGCACACTGATTGATACACTAAACTTCTGCAAGAATTAAAAATAATCTTCCATACACCAGTTCAATTAAGGAAGAATAAGAGTTTCAATCAGTTATATAAATTGCAGCTAAACACAGATTTATTATTATTATTATTGTCAAATATTTAGAAAATCCCAGGTATAGGAAAATATCCACGCTAATAATCCTTTGTAGACAAGAAAGGATTTGGTTTGCATTGGTTTATTTAATTATGGCAAAGCACACTAGGGCTATCTGCCTAAGGGGAGAGATGCCTTCATGGAGGACTTTCTAAGGGAAACTGGCTCATATACATGTTACACATGGGGAAAACCATGAAAACGCCCATGCAGCCAGCCCGTTCACAATATTCGAACCTCGGACCGAACTACCAGTGTTCAGCGACTTTACCACTCGGCCACTGGTTGGCCGACAAGAAAGGAAGTTTCACTTCTGTAACTATATGGATGATTCTGTTATGTGCAATAGAATAGTAAAAGAGTTTAATGTATTAGACTGACACAAGTAAGTAGTAAGTTGACAAGTTTCAGTACTATGAGTTATCTGGAACTATGGTGAGCACCATGAATGGTGATAACTTGCTAATATATACCTCTGCCTCTTTCTTGAATCATTTCCCCTTAGTAACAATGTCCTTAATTATTAGCAACAATAATACAAGGATAATAATAAATTATTTTCTTTTAGATTTTTGGTAACACTATGATTAAAACACACAGCTAAAGAGCTGATGAAAAAATAAAAAAGATAATAAATTTTTAAAAATTAGCCAAACTACAGGCATATTTACTCTGCAAAGGGTGCCTTAAACGGTGCTTCATCATAAAAATAGTGCAAGTGTTCAACAAGTCAGAAACCTTCACAAAGCTATTCTGCCATAATGGTGCATTATTATAAAAATTTAATTTTTATTTAAAAGAAAGTAACTTTAAAGGTGTGTAAAGTCATTAGGATTTTTAAAGAAGGAAACGCAAAAAATGAGCAATGCCCTCACCGGGACTCGAACCTGGACCTCTCAAATACGCACAGAATGTGCTGCTCACCATGAAGGACTGCAGTAAGAAGGGAGAAAATACCTTACAGGTGCAAGAACCATTATACCAAGACACTGCTATGCAAGTAATATTTTCAATCCGAGTGCTAAGCTTATTTTATTTAATATACTCTTATTTCAATTTTTTTAATTAATGAAGCAATTTTCACTTTATTAACGGATGTTCAAAAACTGGATAATGATAGCAAGCAGTTTCCTGAAATAACATACAAGTAAGTTATCACATTCCCTTAAACACATTCCTATTAATGCAAAATTCCTATTAACGCAACTAAGAATGAGAATGCAAAATTAATTTGAAAGCCAAGCAGATGTTGCTTTAAATTTTGCCTGTTGCATATTTTGGAGATTCTTCAGATTTGTTATCTTCAGCTAACAATCTACAGTTAAAACAGAATTCATTAGATACAGCAGGCCATGCTTTTGTGCTGCTTCTATGCTGGGTTTCTAAAAAAAAGGGACTAATTATTCACATTACACAATTTACTTTAAAATTACCCACCATTCGCACTGCATGAGGTTAAATCAAATAATCAAGATCTCTCCACTATATGGATAAAATAAACCTGATTAAATAAACAGATGTACTCTCACATCCCAGAATATCTTAAGTGATACTCCATTACTTTCAATACAATAAAGCACAGTAGTCAACTAAACCATACTGAAATTTCAGTACTTTCAATAATTCATTAGTTTTGTAAAATTTACCCATTTGTAAAATTCTTTCATCAATATTCAATTTGAAATACTGAAACATTTCTCAGGTATTTGCTGATTGCCAAAATGATATTCTGAAAATAGTTATGCTAAAAATCCCATCAATATTTAGTGAACACACATACTGTTCATTATGGCATGTTTTCTTCTCCTATGCTCTACAATTTCATGACCTTAAAATAGCTGCAATAAAATGCATATTTTTTTATCTCAAATACTGGATTCTGGGAAATGGTGTAACTATGTATATTACAGAATTTTGACAAAACAATTTAGATTTTACATATCTAAAATTTTCTGAGCTGCTCATCAACAAATTCAGCACATATCAGAAAAGAAAAAAGAAATAAAAGTATTCTGAAAAACATAAGAAATTAAAAGCTTACATTTAGTTTCCAGCCTTTTGAAAAATTCTTTATCATAAATTTCTCGTTCATTCCATAATGTTAGCATACGATTAACTTCACTTTTTATTTCTTTGACTCTGCAAATAAATTTCACTTAAATACATGGTGATTCAAAAATAAAGGAACAAACTTCTAGGAGGGGTAAGATATACCTAGATGATTCGGAATCCCATAGCAATTCAAAAGGGATAGGTACTATCGCAGGAAAATTATCAACAACCTCCTGAAAACATGTTAGGATGTAAAATATGAATCCACCGAGATTGCAAATTGACATTTAAAGAACATAAGTCTAAAATAAGCCATGACCTTCCTGATAATGAAGTTTTCTGGCTACATGTCCGAGTCTTACATCTATAGTTTTGCACATAAGGTGCTGGTTATTTGCTTGAGGGCACTGTTTGTCAGAGCTGTAGTTGGAATGCAGCATTAGTCATTTCAAGTTCTAATTGCATATGCAGAGCACAGAACAATTTATGAACATGGAAATGGCAGACACACACATTGTGCTTTGTGAAGTTCACTGATATGGAAGGGCTGTGACACAGTTGTGTGAAAAACAGAACCCGAACTGACATCAGATTACTGAATGTTTGTGAATTTGCACCGTAACCTGTGTGAATATCAGACCTTCTGCAAGGGCAAGCATGATACAGGGTGACCATGAATGACATGTACACCTGCCATAACATGAGATATTGTGTCAAGCGGAAAAATTCCTGGTACAAGCATACAAATCGTTGCCCATGATATTATAGCATCTCAACTTGTGTATGGTGGACATTACACAGGAAGCCTTTACATCCATATCATTTGTCAGAGGTCCAGCCATTGCAGTCTGAGGATTAACTATGACATCCCACAAAATATGAACCCACATGCTACCCATCAGCGGCTTTCTGTGAGTGTATGGACAAGTATTATCAGTGATTACTTAATTAGGCCATATTCTTCCCACCTCTACTGGATGGTCAAAAATAGTGTATTTTTCTGGAGAAAATACTGCCGCAACTACTCGACACTGTCCTATGCATGTTCAGCAAATAATGCGGTACCAGCATAACGGGCTCCAGCTCACTTCGCCTGTACCATATCAGATTACCTGAAAATATATTTGCGTAGTAGTGGATTAGGCATGGAAGATTAGGCATGGCCGCTGCATGGCCACCTTCAGAATCTGATTTGTATAGCCTGGATTTCTTCTTGTGGGGGACAATGAAAGGCATAGTCTATGAGATGCTCATTGACTGTAACACTGATCTCATTAAAACAATCTCCGTGACAGCTGCAAACATCCGCAACATAATGGGTATTTTTGAAAAGGTTCGACGATCCATGCATGGCCATTGTAATGCCTGCATAATAATAAATGGTCAGGATTTTCAACACCTGTTGTGAAATTGAAAGGGTATACATATTGTAAATTAATGCTCAATAAAGTTTTTCCACTCATTATTAGCCTCTTTGTCACCCATTATTAGCCTGTCATTCCAACCTCTTTGTTTATCCTTCAGCTGATCAGAGCTAGAAGGAAAAATATTTGTTGGAATTTACTCTAATCACAGAATGACATTTAAAGACCAAAAAAATTAATCCTGATTTTCCTGATGATGTAGATCTCCGACATTTTCTAACGTGGAATAAAGCATGGACTCTCACAACTACTGAAATGGCACATCTTCATGGCTATTGTGAATGTCCGATGGAAGCCTGGCATATCTAAAAACATCTGAAATTTCATGCAAAGCCCACATTAGACAACTTGGGAAAAATTCATTATCAAGATAGTCATGACTTACTTTAACCCCTTAACTGCCACAGAAAACGTACACAATTCACTCCCCAGTGCCACCGTTTTTACACGAGTGCACGTAGTTATGGAATGTATTGGGGGGAGAATAAGTGCATGTTTTGCTGTCTAAAAACTATTTACTTTCCCAAAATAAAGAATAAAAGAAAAAAATTAGAATACGTTTAGAGTAAAAGTATAATAAAAAAAAGATGTAAATATAATGAAAATGATGTTTGTACAATAAAAAAGATGTATAACATCCCAAAAAATGGAGTTTCGATCAATTTATTTTTAGGCCAGTAAAGTGTAATACAGTCAAAAGTCTTTAATCCAGACACATCGGGACTTCACGATTCCGGATTATTGATTTTTCCGGATTATAGATCATCAGTTTAAATCTGGTAAAATGGCATGCAGAAATTATAAAATTAAAAATATGAAACCGTAATTTATGAAATAAAGAACAATTATGATCTAAAGAGTATCAAAATTTACAAAAAAAAAAAAAAAAAAAAAAAAAAAAAAAAACTTAATATTTATTTGTTTACTTTATTAAACATTTCTTTTAACGTGCGCATAGCCGAAATTAGAAAATTGCAACCAGAAAACTATTTGATGTGTATTCGTGACATTTATAATGACGAGGAATTTGATTTAAATAATATCAAAGATGGAATACATCGAGATGAAATACTACATTTAGTAAGGAATTATAAACCAAATAAAATAAAAACATCTGCCCTGAAGATAAGGATAGTGATGACAGATCAACTTCCAGTTCATTGCATGCCGTTCCCCCCCCCAAGAGCAGCGTGAAATAGATAAACAGATTTCAGAATGATTACAGAAACAAAGGATATGCCTTTATCCATTTTTTGCAGCAATTCCACTTTTTGTTTGATGGACATTGAAACATGCTTTCACTTTGTAGATTCTTTGGCAGTATCCAGCATCAGACATAATTGAAAGTTCAAGCTTACTTTTATAAAATTGCTCTAACAGTCTGCAAATAATAAGCCGGATCCAATTCGAAGATTATGGAACAACGCAATCTGCAACATTAACTGAATTAGATAATTTTAGCTTAGCTTATACCGTCCGTTATACATTAAACGCGCATGCGTAAACGTATTATGCGCATGGGTAAAGGTATTAAACGCATATGCACATGCATGAACGCATTATGTGTTGACGCATGTGCAGAAAGTTTGTAGCTTTGAAGTCCGGATTACAGATCATTCCAGATTATGAGCGTCTGGATTAACGACTTTTGACTATATCAGGTTTCAGTGTTATACCTTGTAAATTCAGTATACCTAAATAGAAACCGTGGAGGTGACCACAGGTCATACTCAACGTCGAGCATCTTTCGGAGAATAGTCGCAATCCTCTTCATCTGACGTAATATTAAATTCTAAGGTGTCTGAGTATGAAGATGACGGAAAGCAATCATCTATTTCACTATCACACATATTCGTAAAAAAAGCTCCTATTTGTTGGAAAATATAACTTATTGTAAACCTTTTACTGCATCATCTCTCCTCCTTGAAATGTTTATTAGACTTAGTTCTTATTTTTAATGTACTATATTAGTTATTTCTACTTCTTTTTCTTACTGCCACTGTTTGCGTTGAAAACGGACTGTTTCAACCTAATTGAGATGCAAAAACGAAACGTGATGTTACCTCATCTGGAAAGCCGATTCGTGACGATAGCTGATTGGTTGCCGTGAGATGACGTCATGCCTACTTCTGCTATAAGTATCTCGCGTCGCTCTGGCTCAACTCTCCTTCTAGTTCCTGCTTTTCTGGCACTTGGGTGTGCGGTTTCCAGCCTCTTCGGAAGGATGCATGCAGTCCGGTGAATAAAGTTCTTTGGTACCTGTCCACAAGATGACTGTTCCTGAATAAAGTTCCTTGGTTCCTGTATACAAGATGATTGTTCTAGAATAGGTTCCTTGGTTCCAGAGGCTACCATGTGAGTGACTGCCGTGGGTGGCATCATTGTTCTTCAATGAAGGCGGCATTTAGAATACGTGAGCGGCAATTCCTTGTGTCAAACTAATGCAAACGGAGTTAGGCCGGTTTTGAGTGCTTTCAAGAACTTTGATTTAAATTTCAGGTGTTTTATCGACCATTGATCATGGACTTTTTGAATGTGTAGCCAACTTCATTTTGAGGCTGATTAATTACTGTTTAGGACATTTTGTTTGTATTGAATGCCAGTGTTTTTGAAGACCAGGTAAAAATATTATTTGATGAATGATGGTTATATTGTATTTTTCCTAAGACTCTGATATTGTTGAAATTTATTTTCTGTGTTATTATTCTTTATTATATTGTTAATAAATTGGTTAAGTTCAAAACCTTTTATTGTCTTCAATGTCTGCACAACATAGTATCTCAGGGAGCTTTTATTGCTACTACTGCTAAATGTTTAATTTTATAAACTTTAAACTTTGCTTTAGCATCACTATTACAAACAATAAACGAGAGACACAGAATAAAAAAGTATGTTTTACTCAAACAGAAACACGAACAATAACTGTGCAGTCATTAGTAATCACTATCAGACATATTCGTAAAAAAAGCATATACTACAAACACTAAATAAAAATGGAAGATACAGAATAAAAAAAGTACGTTTTACTCAAACAGAAACACGGGCAATAACCGCCCAGTTATTACTTTCATCGTTTCAGAAACATCCCCCCTCTGATTCCTCTCCTCTTCTCTGAAAAAGTAGCCCCCCCTTTGCATACTCTGTCAAAGTCATTGCATTGTTATATTCCAAAGCTTTGCAAATAATTTTACTGGTAACACCGCAAAGCAAATGATAGCATTTCGGAAGGGCATATACACCCAGAGCAGTTAATGCATCGGCTGAGTAAGGCTTATATATATGCCCGCAACAGTTAAGGGGTTAAGCTTACGAGCTTAAAATGTCAATTTGCGATCACGATGTATTCAAATCTTCCATCCTGATATCTTTGTGGATGGCTCTCGACAGCTTTCCTGCAACAGCCCCTAACAACCCCCACCCCATCTCGTTAGGACTACATTTCTGACCTGCATTGCTATGGGATTCCAAGTCCTCTCCGTCTACTGCTCTTAGAAGTTTGTTGCTCTAGTTTTGAATTGCCCTCTATATAATGAAAATAATATATGATAATTCTACAAGGCTTACTAACCATAAAAAAAATAATAACAAAGATTCTTAACATGACATTGATTTCATATTACAATTACCACTTTTTTTTTTTAATTATTATTATTTTTTTTAAAT